AAAAAAAAATCTAAATACTCTAAATTTGTCATTGCATAAAATCACACTGGCAAATATTTCTGAATAATGCTATACATATTTTATGAGGGAAAACTTTCTCAAAGTATCAGTTGGTATAATTCCACTTCATAAGATGATTAGTCAATGTCATCAACTCAAGAAAAATACATATATTCAGAAATGTTCTTTGAATATTTATTTTTTGAAAGCAAAGTTAATGTTTTGCTAATCCTAAAATAATTAAAAGAACATAAAATCAGTGCCATCAGTCTCTTTTGGAACTGATATGGTCTACATCTCACATATAATGTAAAGAAAATTGTATATGTTTCATGTTTATTGTTTATATTCAACAGTTTAACAAATCTTATGTATCTATTAAATTAAAGTCACTGTGTTGGCCACATAAACTGCTAACTATTGCAACCATAATTCACTGGATGTTGTTTCTGATGTCTGGAACTTTCCAATCTGCCTGGAAAGCCCCTCATCTTTCAAAACCTATCATAAGCATTAGCTCATCCACGGAGCTTTACTCTCCATTTACAGTCCATTCACACAAGGCAGACTTGGTCACGTGCTCGTCTCTGCTTAGCTAGCATGATTCACACACTGCCATTATGGAAGTCGTCTTAGGATTGTCTATAAACCTTCCGTCCTTCCCTCTCAAAAGGTGAGTATGTGCAGGCAGGCACCACGTTTTGGTCATCTCTGTAAACCCCATAGCAGCTATCCGAGCACCTGACACACACTGAAAACACAAATGTTTACTGCTCAGTAAAATTATATGCTTTAATATAGAGCGTATTTTAAATTATAGTGCTTCTGAAAACACAACTTGTTTTATTCAATTAATTGGCAAATATTTGTTGAGAATTTAACTTATAGCAAGTAATTTTTACCTGTCATCTTATTCATTGGCTTGTGTAATCTTTCTTGTTATTCTAGTTTCTGTTTACAGATGAGTGCCTAAACCTTGTTCGCAGGTAACCTGACATTCCTAGTAATTTTTTTCTCTAAAGTCTTATAATTTTTTTAAAAAGCTCATAATTTACTCACCTATTTTCCTGCCTTACTAAGTATATTCAGTGTAGTTAATTTTTTAGGACTTGGTCATTGTCCAGATTTGTTACCAGGTTATTATCTTCTAAAATACACAGCCTCAAACCTGAGATGGGGGAAGACTTCTGGGAGTTCCCCTCTTCAACTGCTGCTTTTGGTTATCTACTGTAAACTGGCTATTCATTTTATACTCAGTGGTTGCTCTTCCCTTACTGAAATAATATTTAGACTACTCAAACTTAATTCAGAAGGATCCCAGAAAATTGCCTAAATGTTTCTTTCTAGTAGCCATAGGGGAATATATAACCTTAATTGGTTTTATAACCTTAATTTGTTTCCAATAATTTACCAGAAAAAAAAAAAACAAATCTTCAACCCATGACCCCTCCCAGAAGCAGCAGTGACTGATTTGAGAACTGCTAGAAGAAAGTCCTCCTCCTTCAAAATTACCCACAGTGGGAGTGTCTGAAATTCCATCATTAATGATTCCCTCAAAGAAACAGCATTTCCCAAACCTGACTTCTATTAAGTGAAAACTTTATTAGAGATCCTCCAGCATTGATTTGAATAATTCATAAGAATAATACTTAAATATGTTCAAACCTGAAACTAGATATAATCTTCATTTGCTTCTAATTTTATAGGAGTATAAAGCTAAAACCTATTTTAAAATTTAACCTAAAACTTAAAAATTAATAAGATTAAAACAATCTCAATATGATGCTAATGTCCTGCTGAAAATAAACTTACTAGTCACATCGAGAATATGGAACTGTTTGCTAATGATGACAATCTTTTTGTTTTAGCATAGCTTTATTACCATCTGATTTGTATTTTATATGTTATATTCCTATGTGCCATTTGTATACCATCTATTGTATCTAAGACACCATTTGTTGTAAAACATTCCATTATTTTATGCATGCTTCTCTTAGCCTATCCTAACCTCAGCCTGCAATGACTACTAACAAAAAGCAATGAGGCTTTAACATTTGTGTTCTTCCAGGGAGATTTTTTTCCCTCTTCTTCTTACATACTGCATCTACCACAGAGAAACTCTTTATTGTTAATCTAGAACTAAGAGATGGTCTATACCATCTTCTTCTTGTTTTTTATTCAACAAACATTTGTAAAGTACCTAAAATATGCCAGGCACTGAGCTGGGCACAGAACTCTGAAGGTGGCCGAAGTGTAGTCTCTGCCTGCAGAAGCTTATGCTGTAATAGAGAAAACAGACCCAGACATGGCTGTAAAATGAGAACTGTTAAAGTAGACATCCCTGTATGGGACAAGATACAATTGCAACAAAAAAGACAGGATTATAGATATAGCTGTCCATGGTAGAAGAGAGGAAAGGTGGGAGAAGGAAATACCAAGCTCAAGCTAGATAGACAAGGAGTGGAACAGCATTGCAGCAGGGGAACAGTACACATGGGCAAAGACATGGGCAGAGATAAGAAAAAGGGGAGAAGCTCAAGCTATTTTAAATTACTGATTACAGCAAGAGCTGAAAGAGAGAGAGGGGTTACATATGAAACCAGAGTTAGGCAAAGGTCAATGATATAAGGCCCAGAATGTCCTGGTAAGGAGTTTAGACATTACGCCACAGAAAAGGAGGAGTGGCTGAGGGGCTTCAGTTAGACACACAGCTATATTGAAGAAAAATTGTTTTTATTCCCATTGGCATATACTACTTCAGCAATATGGCAACTTGGTACAAAAAAAAATTAAATTGTTATTGGTAAAATTCCAGTAAGCCATTTCACCCAGAATAATCAACTATCCTTCTCCCCTTGTCTTCTTGCTGATTGAAGAGCTCCTCTTTGGAACAACACAAATCACAGAATTTAAAATCAGAAGAAAATAAACATTATTTTTTCCCAACCTAGTTATTTCCAGGTTAAGGCAAGATATTTACTTTAGTCCACAGAGCTACAAAAGTGAAAAAGGAATGATCCAAAATTCTTGTCCTTCATTCCAGAATTCCTTCTAGCTGTCCATTTACCAATCTTTGAGACCTCTGATCGAGATGAAATGAAAGTATTCATTTATAACTTTAATGCCCATGTTAATGCTACTGTGTTGTCAAAAATCAGGTTGTTGGAGGTATTTTAAACCATTTTTAAAGGTGCCTGAATTATTTGAGAATATCTCTATCCCATTTATTCTGACCTGTGATAATCCTAAAGGGTTAAATTGTCAAAACAGACTACCTAGGATCACAGATTTTACCTAGCACCAAAATTTATTAATGATTCATTGGATGCAAGCCATCGTCAGAAATAAACAAACATTTATTATGGGAAAAACCACAAATCGTCAGACCCAGCGTCCAAAACAGACCATTTTCTCCTGCAGTTGGCAGATTTTGGTTTTGCATTTATAAGTAAATTTTGAGCATTGTCTGCAAAAACATTTCTCACAAAAGAAAGGCAGTTTGGTTTGGGGACATCTCATTCCACATTATCTTACAGAGCTTACATAGCACCTCTGTCTCCATTCTCCAGCCAGCCTGCCAAATTCCAGGCTTATTTACAAAAAGCAATCTAGACAGACCAGAAATGTCTTGCTAAAAAAAAAAAAAAAATTATCAATAGGGACTCCCTGGTATCTTTCCACTGATAAATACTATGAGATTTATAACAAAGTCTGATGAGGTCATTTTCTCCTTTGCAGGTCTCAGAAAGAGAAAAAATTAGTCAAGGCCGCTTCTTAACGCCTTCCCTTCTTTAAACTTAGCGTCTATGCTTACATCCAAAGTTCAAAATGTAATCAATTATAGGATTACAGGATTATCTGAAAAGTTCCTAAAATGACCCTATACATATTTGACAATCTCTTCAGAATTATTTCTGAAGCAATAATGGAACCAAAACACCCCCTACCATTTGTTAACAAAAACAAATAGCTTTGTGTTTCTAAGCCATGTAAGTCAAATCAGGTATTCAATGAAGTTATTAGGCATATTTATTTTTGATACAATGGTTGAATCTAAAATTAAAACTTCTAATTTATTTTTAAAATCTATAAGGGAACTGTTATTTTGGTAATATGAAATCTAAATTAAAATGCTTTTTTCATAAATACATAAAGTTTTTTTCTGTATTAACTGTAATAAATATAGCTAACATCTTAAAATACATAACTAGTATCTCAAGGAAATTTCCAGATTGCAAAAATACAGATGGCAAGGAGTATTTGATAAGTTGACTCAGGCTGTCCTGGGTGTGGGTATGTGTCTTGATGTATAAAGGCTTTGGTTTTAATTTGAAACTGCAGAAGATAAGTGCTCGCATTAAAAACAGAAAGAAAAACAAGACCTGTTTAATAAAACGTACACCTTTGGTACACTAAAAATCTCTTGCAATAGAATAGAACATCAACAAAGTTTGTCTGGGCTCTGGGTAGAGGGAAAAAAGTTATCTTTAACAAATCTTAGTCTTATACCTACGCCTCACACAGATTTGCCATCAAACTTTACATGCACATACAGAGGAAAAGTAGAATAAGCAGATTTTTGTTTGTTTGTTTGTTTGTTTAGCTATGTGGAAATCAACCACCACAAGAACAGAAAAAGGAAGCTTAAACATAGGGACCTCACATTGTGGGACTAGAGAAGGGGACTGTGGGGCAGTGAATGCTTTGCTTCATATCCAAAGCCCTCGTGGATCTTTTATTTTTTTTAATCATTTTCACATATTACTTTGCCTAAAATCAGATAGATAAAGATAGGTAGATAGGTAATTAGAAGGAAAGAAAATGCATGAACCAATGTGTTATGTGATCACATTTGAACCATTCAAATCAACTATCCTCTACTTCTAAATTATTCACAAGGGCATTTTGACTTTCTAAAGTTCATAAACAGTGCAAATCACCCAACCAGAAGTAATTTGCTGCTTTTAAGCCAAAGCCCTGGCTAGCTAAGGCGCTGCCTGTAGGAATTAACCAGAACAAAATCCAGATTAAACTAATTGGCTTGTCTACTGAAGAAAAGGAAAACAAAATACATTTCTCTACCTTAAGACACAGTCATAGATACAGAGGGTTTTCAGAACCACCTCAAAGAAGATGTTTAAATCGCTGACAAAAGTCAACAAGGTGAAGCCTATAGGAGAGAACAATGAGAATGAACAAAGTTCTCATCAGAATAAGCAGGGCTCTCAGCCAAATAATCAGCCTCAGCAAACCACAACACAGGTATGTTCTCCACATTCAAAGTAAGCTTTGATTTTCATCATTTCTTATCTGGTAATAGCATTTAATCATTGCTATAATCTATGATTGCTTAGTAGTTTCACCCAGCACCATCTGGTACATGTACTGTGTCGGGCTTATCTTTATTAATTTATATATTCTGTAGATATTTGTTTACAAAATGAATAATAAACGTTTAGGAGATTATATTAAGATTTGGAAAAGCCAAGTAAGACTTCTCATTGCTGATTTTTACTTCTACGATCCTCCGAAATGAAATCATTTCTCAAATATTAAATTGGTTACTTGATTTTCAACAAAGAACGTCAAGTATCCTGGTTAATAAACCACATTTTAACAATAGATTCTCTAGAGCAATAGGAAACCTATTGGCTCTCAGTTGAGAGCAATTTTGCCACTCAAGGGACATTTGGCAAATGTGGAGACATTTTCAGTTGTCACAGTTCCAGGGTGGGGATGTTACTGTCATCTAGTGGGTAAAGTCTGCAGATGCTGCTAAACATCCTATCATGTACAGCACAGCCCTCCACAACATAGAATTATACACTACAAAATTTTAATACTGCCAAAGTGGGAGAACCTTACTCTAAACAAAATGTTGCACAAGTTCCAAGTCTAATCATCTGTAAAATGTATATGATAATTTCTGCTTTTTGTGAGAACTAGAGACAATATATAAAGCACATGGTAGGTACTTTGCAAGTGGCCATTATTATTATAATTAATGATTTGTGTTTCTGTGACAGGTTTAAGTCCAAAGCCATCATTACAAGAGCAATATTTACTTAGAACTATCTAGAGAATAATTTTCATGAATTACTCACTAGAATTATCTAAAAGAGCTACAAAAGATTTTTAGAGCAATAATTATCTTCCCATCTGAAAGAGCTGGATGAGCGATGTCAAGTACCAGCAGGAGTGCTCCTCAGGGACTGGGGGGCATGGTCCAACGGTTCGTGTTTAAATGAGCCTAGAGGATAGACAACACTGAGATTATTTAACATTGGCCATGGAAAACCCTCCTTCCTTTTCTGATTAATGTTGATTGCTTTGCAGTAGAGAGGAGATGAGGAGGATTGTGTTAGTATTGCTTCGTGAGAGTGCCCTTGACTTCTTCCTAATTCTTATGCTGAAATAAATAATCCCACACTAAAAGTTATTTATGTGTTTAAGAACTCATACAGTGTCACAGATATTGAGCTGGTACATCCCTTCAGCTAGTCTTGCTGTATTTTGCTCTGAGAAAGTCACTACATTCATGGTTAACCACTGGCTACTGTGATTATTTTCCCAAAGAGCACATAAAAACAGCTAACAGCTAATATTTTATTCTCTTGGAGAACATTGTAGCTAACAGCAATTACCATGTGTCAAGCAAGGTGCTAAGCCCTTTTATAGCACTACTGTATTTTAACCTCACAACAGTCACAGGTCCTATTATAATTTGCTGCTTACACAGGTAGCGAATGGCAGAGCCTGGATTGGAACCAAGTCCCATCTGACTTCAGCACCTGAGAGCTAAATCACTAGGCTATACTGCTTCAAAACAGGAGGGATATTAGTTGAGTCAACCCTTTAAGATACTTTGCCTACAGGATTAAAAAAAATGTTAGCGAGAAGGCGAAAAAGAAACTTCTTAAAGAATTGTATTTCCTTTCAAAACAGGAGTGCTGGAGAAGTACTTAGATTAGGTGCAGGTAGGGTACTCCTTAGGTATATCCCATGCCATTCTAACAGACTTAATTTGTGGTATTAATCATGACATCTACTGGCATCACATTATATCTTTTCTTTTATTTGAGACAGAATCTCATTCTGTCACCCAGACTTGACTGCAGTGGTGCAATCTTGATGCACTACAACCTCTGCCTCCTAAGTTCAAATGATCCTCATGCCTCAGCTTCCCAAGAAGCTGGGATTACAGGTGCATACCACCACACTTGGCTCATTTTCTGTATTTTTAGTAGAGATGGGGTTTTGCCACATTGGCCAAGCTGGTATCAAACTCTCGACCTCAGGTGTTCTGCCCACCTCAACCTCGCAAATTGTTGGGATTACAGGCATGGATCCCTGCCACATTGTATCTTAAAACTCATATTTGAAGAATTATTTGCATCTGTTCTTCCAAGAACATGTGAGTATAGGAAAAAATGTTTATCTCCAATTTCAAATATGCCAAATGTTAAAAATGATGGAAAGTTAAAATCCTATTTTCTTTCACGGAATTTGACCTTTTAAATGGCATTTAAACAATAAGCCTTTGAACTATGAATAAATGATTAGTGTCTTATAGAAAATATCTAGGAATAAATATATCAATATATATTGCATTTTTTAAGGAGTCATTTAAAGAGCTCATTTACAAACCAAAATGTCATGGGTAATTCCCACCTGTCCGTGAAAAATAATTCAAGGACTGCAAATCAGTTTAATCTAAACTCTCTCTCTTACCCCAGAATAAGACACTGTTCACATAAATCTACATCTGTATGCACATAAAGACTATAACAGAAATGTTTATGAATAACATTGTCATTGTAACAATGCAGAAAAACTGATTGAAGTCAGAAGGGTTTTTCACTATTTATAAATAGTCCTGGATTTATACCTTTCTAGCTATGTTCATATAAACTAGCCACTCAATTTCATATTCAATAATAATAATATTAATAATAATAGCTGTCTTGCCTAACATATATGGTTATTGGTTATTGTGAGGCTTACGTGAAATCAGCCAATTAATTTATTTTTAGTTTTAAATGCTTCCATGACATACAAAGCTTATAAATAATGTCAAAACTCCATAGCAGGCACACAAGACTCTCAATGTCCTTCTGGTCCCTGCCTACTCTCAAGCCTCATCTACTCATCCTTTGTCCGCTCCTACTGTAGTCTCTCCCCACCTATGTACAGTCACACCTTTGGCTTTTGCTAAACCGGCATCATCTGCCATGTTTTCTAAGTCTTCTCCCTGTGGAAAACAAAAATCTTATCTTCATAAAATCAAGAGTCACTTTCTGTGGAATAGTTTCCTTCCTTTCCCCTCTACTCCAGTAGAATTGACCACTTCGTGTTTATGCTCCACCCTTATCCTCTACAGATGCCGTCTCATCACCTATATTTTTTTGCACTTAACATTTTTGTGTGTTTGTTTCCCTTTCTGGACTGTGCATAGCTTGGGAGTCAATCTTTCTATATTCTAATCTCATATTTTGTTTCCCTCTGTAGGAACATCCTGAGGCATACACTGGCCATGTGTAGTGTGACATAATGACATTTCAAAGCAAAGCTTAGATGATCAGACATATAATGAAGTAGAAGCAGATGAAATCATGGAGAGAAGAAAGATGGCTATGTGTGAATGGGACCAAATTGCCTTCTCTCCATTATTTTGAGTTCTACCACGAAAGACCTAGACCAATGCTAGGCCTATGGGAAGTAAAGAGCAGAACTGAAGACCCATGAGCAAGAGAAACACAGAGGCCACACTGAAAAAAACAGAGGGATCCTGTGACTAACAAGCTGCAGAGGCTGAGGTTGATTATTCAATAGTAGGCCAAGAATGCCCATTTTAAGTGCAAGAATCACTTTTAGTGCCTCATAAACAGTCCATTTTAATGATCTGATTGACAATTGAGTGGAAAATAGTGCTACATTTTACTTTCAACTTCATTTTTATGTAAATTCATCACATACAATCTCTATTTTTTTCTTCAAAGGAAGAAAACAAAAGTGAAGAGAAATCTCTCAAAACCAAGTCGACTCCAGACACGTCTGAAGAGCCACACACCAACATACAAGGTCAGAATGCAATCTCCAAAAAAAACCTAAAAAGTGAAATACGTATTTCTCTGAAATGTGTTGGCCAATGAAACATTTGTCCTTTACTAGGTAAATTATCTAGGGTCACACTGAGGTTATTTGAGGATCTGAATAGTCTCAAAAACTATATATCCTCATTCAGTAACTCATTTGTCCATTCAATAGATGTTTTTTCATTAGCTGCCATGTGCCAGGCACTGTTCTATGGGCTGGAGTTGCAGTGAGCAATGTGGACCGAGTCTGGGGTCACATGGAGCTTGTAGTCTAAAGAAAATGAAACATATAACAGATAAGTAAGCACATTGTGAACAATGTGATTCCAGACATTGACAAGCAATATAAACACATTAAAATGAATGTGGATTGAACACATTTAAAGTTTTAGCATCCACACCTCTGCTCCCTCTTGCTAAACTCTCTCCATTAGAAGGCTCATCTACTCCTAAGGTTACCACACTTGTTTCTACGATGATTCTAAATCCATTTCAGGTCAATTTCTTTTTTAAGATCATCAACAATATTTTCCAACTCACCACTAAATGTACATGCCTGTATATTGTGCTGCATCACAGAGAAAGCATGTCTAAAACTAAATTCCTCATCTTCTCCTACAAATACGCTCCCTCTCCTGATTTTTTTTTTTTTTTTTTTTTTTTTTTGAGATGGAGTTTCGCTCTTGTTACCCAGGCTGGAGTGCAATGGTGCAATCTCGGATCACCACAACCTCCGCTTCCTGGGTTCAAGCTATTCTCCTGCCTCAGTCTCCTGAGTAGCTGGGACTACAGGCGCACACCACCATGCCCAGCTAATTTTTTTGTACTTTTAGTAGAGACGGAGTTTCACCATGTTCACCAGGATGGTCTTGATCTCTTGACCTCATGATCCACCCACCTTGGCCTCCCAAAGTGCTGGGATTATAGGTGTGAGCCACCTGTGCCCAGCTCTCTCTCCTGATTGACTTCTATCCCTGGTACTATCATTCTTTCAGTCTCCCCAGCTCAAAATATCACTCGGGTTTTATTCCTTTATCTAGGATGTCCTGTAAAGAAAATTAGTCACCAAATCTCCTTTCATAAGGACCCTGTCACCCATTTCCTTTCCTTCCATTCTCAGCAATACTGTCCTGGCTCTGGCCCTTACTCTTGGCTCAGGCCCTTATTAGTAGCTCATGTCTGCACTACTCCCAGGCTAAGTGGTTGCTTTTGTTTAGAACTCTATTTTATCCATCTCTCCCCTTGTTACCCAGCCCAAACACTGTTAGCAGATTATTTTCCATTAACCACCACACTGATCTCAACCTTTGCTCAAGACGCTTAAGTGCTTATGTATTGCCTGAGGGACAAAATCTAAATTCCTCTACCCAACTTTGTAGAACTTAATGTGATCTATCATCAGCCCCCCTTTCTAGATCTTCTCTCCTACTTCTCCCCAGTAGAAACACTACCTGCCCCAACAAAAAAAATACAAAAATGATAGGTAAATAACAGAACAGAACAGAATGTTTTGTTAAATAATAAAAATAAAACTATTGCCATAAAACTAACACAAATGTTTTACTTTTCATCCATTAGACAAAGCCTGTGTATGATGATTGTTAATGACTTTCTATTTGTACTAAAACAAATATTGGAACTGAGGCACAATTGAGATTTTACTAGCCCAAATGTCCCATCTTTAAGGAAGAAAAATAAGAAATATACAAACATTACAAGCAAGATTATAAATTTAAAAATAAATCACAAGAAATGTTTCAAATAAACAAATTCCTGTCAAGGAATATCCCCACAATAAAAGTACTGGGCCATTATCACAAGTAAACTAACACAGGAACAGAAAACCAAATACTGTATGTTTTCACTTGTGGGAGCTAAACATTGAGTATACATGGACATAAAGATGGGAACAACAGACACCAGGGTCTAGCTGAGGGTAGAGGATGAGAGGAGGGTGAGGACAGAAAAACTACCAATAGGGTATCATGCTTATTACCTGGATGATGAAATAATCTGTATGCCAACCCCCCATGACACAAAATTTGCCTATATAATAAACCTGCACATGTACTCATGAACCTAAAATAAAAGGTTTTTTGAAATTTTCAGTTTTTAAATAATACCAAATTTCAGTACTATCTTACTTTAATTTGGGAATGCTACATTAAACCTGTTGTGTAATAAAGAAAACTTTTTTTTTTTTTAAGAAAAGGACCACTCAACAAATGGCCCCACTCTCATACTTACCTGTATCTATTTAGGAGAAAAGGAAAGGATCTATATGAAGAAAATAACTGAACTGTACAGAGACATGTAGAATAAACTTAAATAACTGGAGGGAAATATGTGTTCATTTGGGAGGATATTATAAAGATAATGATTTTCCCTAAATTAATTCATATTTTTACTTTTTATAGCCTTCTATCTAGTTACAAATAATTTTTCTTAAAAAGGGAAGAAAATTCACTTTACTTTTCTTGACTTTATTTTCTTATTTTGAAAAACATGTCTGTGTTTTTACTATGCAGTTTAGAATGTAGAGAATACTTGTTCTTACATAGACCAGGTGTTTTTGCCACTATCTTTCTTCTGTATTTTTATCTCAGCCACAAAGATAGGAAAATAGTATCCTCCAAATAGACAATCAGCACTGACTTACCCAAGGATAAAGTGGGGAAATAAATAAACGTTCCACAACACATTTTTCAAAATGAAAGCAATATAATAATACTTCATAACCGATGACTAAAGCTAGACTGTTCAACTGCTAGGTTATCTGATTTAAAATATTTAGGATAATGTTTCACTGAAAGAGGAAAACACTTAATAATCCTAAAACTCGATCTGATCCAAATTCATATATATAAAACTTCCACAAATAGTAAAAATCATATACCAAGAGGACACTGTAAAAAATGTGGTCTTGCCTTTTTTTATCTGTAATTGAAGCCCATTATTCAATCTTCAAAGTTGTTTAAAAGGTGAAGACCCTTTTGAAGATTATACAACAATCTTTAATGCATACACCAAAATGTGATTAACACATGGAAGTACTGAGAAAGAGAGAAACATTCTGATAATTCAAACTACAGTTCTGTTTTTCTGAGTTACTTTGTAATAATAATGGTTTAAATCTACAGTTCTTTGCACAGAAAAATACAACTTTACATAAAACCAAGGATCACACCTTTGAAAAGACAAGTTTATTCTTATCTTTGTTGTACTTTTTCAAAGTGTATTTGTAAGCTTAAATTTTTCATAGCTGGTAATAAACACTCTTTTGTGGAAGTTTCATTTAACAGAGGAGCTATTTGAGTAGAAGGAAAAAGTAGTTTCATTTGAATCTGCACACTTAGCATATCTCCAAAGACTTTAATAGAAATAACAGTTATATTTAATATATTCTGTCTTGAAAAAGCAAAATTATTAGTGTTTAAAGATAGCCTCTGATATGTGCTTGATATTTTTGTGTTCACTTCAAAACATGCAGGTGCAATGTCATAAAATCTGCAGATGTTGATTTCTGATTATAAAACTCTTATCTTCTGCAGAGCGTGGTTTAATTTATATCTACCATGGAAATGAAGAACACAACATATTTTGGATTCAAATAACTTACTAAGGTCCTCTTTTGATTATGATCATCTTTCTTAGGCATCTACTTCACTTATATTACATTAAACGCTTCTTTAAATAGATATCTAGGTACCAGTAGAGGAAATGTAAGCAAGCAATTTACCTAGTGGTTTACAGTGCTTTCAAGTGATATTATTTGTGTAGAAGTGGGCCAAAGTTGAGTGCCCATTGCTAATACGGTGTGGCAAACCAATTAAAATGCCTATCCAAAGATGTCTACACCATAATCTATAAAATCTAAGAATTTGGTAGCTTACGTGGAAGAAAGTTGCTAATGTTATTAAGGATCTTGAAATTGAAAGATTATCACAGATTATTCAGGTAACCTCAATGGAATCCAGGGGTTCTTATAAGAGTAAAGCAGGAGAGTCAAAGGCAGGAGATGGGATAATGAAAGCAGAGGTGGATTGATGTTCTCTGGAGGTGGGGGAAGGGACCAGGACCCAAGGAGTGCTGCAACCTCTAGAAGCTGGAAAAGACAAGGAAAGGATTCTCTCCTGAAGCCTCCGGGAGAACACAGCCCTTCAAACATGTTTTAGACTTCTGACTTTCAGAACTACAAGACAACGGGCTATGTTGCCTTAAGCCATTACGTTTACAGGAATTAATTACAGCAGCAATGGAAAACTATAATACATACAGTTTTAAGATAATTCCAAATTAAAATATAAAATGCAACCATTTAGAAAATGAAATTGAGTTTTCCTACAATCATGTAAATTCACAGTAAAGATAGTATGCTACATCAAAAAAAAGAGCATTTGAGAATTTGATGCCCCCAAATTCAAATCATAACTCTGTTACCTTCTAACTCTTTAGTTGAGGCATTTAACATCTTTGAGTGTCATTTTGCTCATGTATAAAATAAGAACAATACTGCTATCAGTGTTGGGTTGTGAGTGAGAATTAATTTAGTTAATATATGTAAAGCATTTAGCATGGAGGCTGTGAAATCCCAACTCTGATAGAAGCCAGATAGCATAAATGAGGAGCATTCATTCATGCCCTGTCTGAACAGGTCAGACGCTACTCAGCTCCACCAGTAACTGTCATATGGGGATGTGGGTCAAATGCTGCCAGGTGTTACATTTGTCAAGAGAAACCAGAAACACAAATGTTAATTTGAAAGATCTCAATTTTAGTGTTTAAATATTTATTCTCTTTCTTAAATCACTGGGAACAAAATAACTGAATTCTTATCAAATTCAGTCCACAAGACCATTTTGTGACCTCTAACCACCCATATGGTAGACATGTAATGTCGTCTGTATTTATGAACAATGCAATGCCTGGGCAAAATTCTGAATCTGTCAATGCTTTTAGTGATCCTTTTACTTTTCCATTCCTCTT